GGGGGGGGGACTAGGGAAACAGGTCTCAGTAAATGTAAGAATAATGCTGTTCTCCAAGGAGGATGATACACGTGAAAACAGGGGCTGTAGAAATGCAGGGTGCTTTGTAGAGAGCAAGGCATTGTGAAGGAGAGAAGTATAATTATGTTCTCCAAACGTGTGGTGTGGGTAGAAACAGAGCTATGTAAATGCCATACACTTTCCAGGATTTGAGTCGTTGTCAAGGAGATAGACGAGATGGAGAGAATCATAGGCAGAAGCATTGATTTATAGAGCTGTGGTCTACCCAAAACATGGGTGTAGAAATGCAGCATAATATCTGGAACATGAGCTACACCTGCAGAGAACTGTAATTCACAGGTTATCTCGGCTCACTGATACTTCACTCAGCCGTCACTTGGTGCTCGGTCGTGAGGTGAAAGATAAAATAAGGACAAATTCGGAAGAAAGAAAAAAGGCGAAAAAGTGAGATTTCGCGGGCGAGTCATTTATTCGCAGTCACGTGCGTTGCTTCCACTTTTCCTCCATTTCTTTCCCAACTACACCGACAACAACTACGCCATAAGATGGCATACCGCAACCTTCGCAGCTATCCTAGCGACGGCTCTAGCGCTAGATGGCCTAGAGATCAAGCCAATGTTCTTGTTGACCCTCCTGTCGACTTCCTAGCAAGTCTGGAGCGCTTTTTCCGTAACATCTATACCAGGAGCCGAACGGTAGCTATGACGGACACTGACCATTCTATACATAGACCGCCAGTACACCTTCAGCGATATGCCTCAGGGCTATGCTGTCTTCAACCATACCCGCAACGACCAGACCACTAGAGCCCACGACACGCACATCTATGGCCACAAGGAGGGCCACTACGTCTCGGCCAGAGAATTTGGTCCCCACTTCTGTTGTCTTGCGAGAGTTATGGCTGGTATCTGCACTTGCAAGAAGTGTAGATCAGGCCGTCGTAGGGCCAAAGCTGCTGCTGCTGCGGCCACCAGAGCACGTAACCCACGCCCTCTACCTCCTACTCATACGCTCTTCTGGTAACTAAAGTTCCTCCACAACGAGGTAAGCTATATACTATGTGTACTTTACTAGAAGGATGAATACTGATATGTTGCATAGTAAATACCACACTACAACGATAGGCGAGCTATATACTCGGCCTCGGGCGACGAACTGCGGGGTAGAGCCTTACGGGCGGGCACCTCTGACCACGATTGGCAGGTAGATAGGCCAAGAATACGATACGGAACGAATGCTGGGACCTCATTACACCTATCCGTACCTCTACTGTGACATCTACTCCTCTAAAGCTTACCCTGTACGTTGCTATATCATACCGCAGCACGTTATTATGGACGGCTCTTTTGACGACGAGTCTTGGACCCTTATTGATCGTACAACCACCAGGATATCCTCTACGCCAACATCTCGGGAGCGTAAGATCAAGCCCTGGGATCTTGCACCACCCAAGACATACATCTTCGAGAACGCGAACATCGTCAATACCATCGACGGTTCTATCCGAAGAAAAAGCTCACTTTGTATGAGCGACGGCAAAATCAAATGGATCAAAGCTACATCCGCAACGACCGCTTCCGAGTCCACCGCCATCAAAATCGACGCAACGAGCAAATATCTCGTCCCAGGTTTAATTGATTCTCACGTCCACATCACAGCTGTACCGGGTACCGCAGACCTCGCAAAAGTATTCGGGAGTGAATTCGCAGTCTCCGCTTTTCGTCAACCGTATGTGTGCCAACAGATGTTGAGTAGAGGCTTCACTACAGTACGCGACTGCGGGGGCGCAACACTGGCTCTCAAAGAAGCAATCGCCGATGGCGTGTTCCCTGGTCCTCGGCTCTTTATTGCTGGAAAGGCATTGTCTCAGACGGGTGGACATGGCGATTCTCGTGGTCCTCATGATCATCCGACTTGTTGTGGTGGAGTGACGAATAGTATTGGTCTTATCTGCGATGGTGTGGACGAGTGTATCAAAGGAGTCCGCGAGAACTTGAGAACCGGAAGTGATTTCATCAAGATTATGGGAGGTGGTGGTGTTGCGAGTCCGACTGATGCGCTGGAGAATGTGCAGTTCACTTCCGAAGAGATCAAGGCTATTACTACTGTGGCAGGTCAAGCAGATAAATGGGTGACTACGCATGCATACACGCCCAAGGCCATTCAACACGCTATCAGAAATGGCGTCAGAGGCATCGAGCATGGCAACTTTATCGACAAGGAAACTGCCAAGTTGATGGCAACTCATGATATCTTTCTGACGCCAACATTGATCACATATTCTGAGATGGCTTCTCCGGATTGGACTGGTTTCCTACCACCAGAGTCAGCGGCAAAGAACGAGACTGTTTTGAAGAAAGGTCTACAGTCTCTTCAGCTTGCCACCGACGCTGGAGTCACCGTCTGCTACGGCACCGACCTGCTAGGCCCCTTGACCGCAGCACAAACAAAGGAATTTGCATTGCGAAGCCAGGTCTTGACTCCGCTACAAGTACTCCAGAGCGCTACAATCAATCCTGCTAGAATGCTGCGACACGAAAAGTTGCTCGGGCAACTGGCGCCTGGATTCTTGGCTGATATGCTGATCTTGAATGAGAATCCCTTGGAAGACATGACGTTGTTTGATAAGCCTGATAAGCATTTGCTTGCTGTGGTCAAAGAAGGACGAGTCTTTGTCAGTCGATGGTCGGGATTATCAGAGGATACGACTTCTGCTACACCGCTGATTGAGTAGACGGTGTGGTTGCATGGAATAGTCACTATCAGAGATCCAGTGATTAAGTATTGGGATCACCCATTCCAGCACACAACAGCGCGATTTGTGAGGTGCGAGTGGCAGCCATAGGAGATTGTCAGTAGAGACTAGAAGGGCCATCTGAGTTTACTCATGTGCAACAGTAGTGTCGACTCACTACAAGATCGATTCGAGCGAGTGTAGTCAGTGGTCATCCTTCATATTTTAGTCTTATGGATAGGGCGGCAAATTATAAGATTTGCAAGGCGAGCGAAAGTGTCTTACCCTGATCCGCAGGTCGAGTATTGGACCAGCCTCTGCGTAGATCAGGGACGAAAGTATGTTCCGGCTTGGGGTTTGCCTTCTGCCTTCTGCATGACTCTGTACCACCGAAACTGACTCGCTGGATCAAGCAAGACTGCAGATGTGCTTTAGCTTGATGGTCAATTGACGCATGTTGCTTTGGATGAACCAATCTTGAGCGCATGTCGATGGCAAGATGGTGTAGTACGATTCGGTGTTTACACCTGAACAAGTTTGGAGAAGCATCTAAGGGTCGTAGACAATTTCTAGTCGCAAGGCCTCCGCAATCTCAATGGTCATTGTTGAGATTCATATGTGGGATATCCACAAAAAGGTCAACAGGTTTGAGGCTCATGCTGCTGCTGCACAAGGGCAAGATCTTCGAAGGGACGATGAAGAGCATGCCCATCACCGCACGAGCCATATAGTGACTGTCACGACTCGAGGAACGACAGAAGGAACCCTGCTTCCGTGGCAGTGACTGTTAGCACATGGTCGAAGTCTCAATCCGAGAACACTGTCTTCGTCGCTAGTCAAATGACCCATGAGTCCGTCCTTGTCCGCTATTGTTGTTGCAAAAAGCATCGTGAATCAACAGTGCTGACGCGACGCGCGAAGTTCTTGAAGCCTCGGAAAGAGGCACATTTGAGCTGTGACCAGGCCCCCAACCAAGCCACTCTGTCACCACACACCCCCAGTATTGCCGGAGGATTTTGGCAAGCAATGGACACGACTCACATCAGGGCAAATGGCAAGGCACGCGCCTGGAGAAATGCACAATGGCTCGTGAGTCGTTTGGCGGCTTCGGGACATTTGCCTTCTGCCATGAACGGGAAATGAACAAGGCCAGAAGCGCGTGTCTTGATTGGTGTTCGTACGTGACCTGCAGGCGCCTCCAACTCCATCCCGCCTCGCCGCTTTCTCTGGACCTTCTCGACAAGCAGAAGACTTTTTCTTGCCTACTCTGTTTTCAGCTTCTGTACGTGTCCCAATTGTCTCGGCCGAGTCAACTGTCTGTCAAATGAGAAGACACCGCCATCAGGAACGCGGGCTTGCCGTGCCGCAGTCTCTCGAAACACGCTTCTTGACACCATGTTTGATGATTGTGATCGCTACTCATGACCTGCAGATCCGTGTCCGTCAACTGTCCCTTGTCCAATATCACGCGAGGTGACCACAGCTTCCGACACACGCGGCAATGAACCGCACGATGGCCATTGGAGCCTGCCGTCTTTCAATTGTTGTCGGTCACAGTCAGTACGGGGCCGTGATGGGACTTCATCATTCTGGGCCCAAGACATGGAGTCTACAACAAGCAATTGTCGGATATTGGCTCGTCATTCTTACCCCTCTCTTCCCCAGGTCGTTTCATTTATGTGAATCCACGCTCAGATATTACAACACTATAAATTGGCATTTGGCCTAATACATGTCACCAGCCAAGCTGTAGAAGCTTATTGTTTATGGGCTCCCCATAATTGGACTGTCTACAGACAAGCATAGACGTCAAAGCTGAACCTTCGGCGGCATTTGTTTGCGGTTGATGAAATTTGCTGACGACCGAACGAGCATGCAGGTCGTAAAGGTGGTCGTTGCTTCGGCAAGGTACCAACCTTAAGCCTTACTCGCACTGTTGGCTCGAGCACACCGCTGAGTAGGCGGGGTCGCAGATCATGGTCAATCAGTTCAAGGTTGCTGTTCCGGGTAGGTGCAAAATCAGTACGGTGACTAAATCCTTCGTCCTACAGATCAGGCCGACCTACTGGAACGGCAGATTAAGTAGGAGAGATGGGACCCATCATGCCTACGTGCTCCTTTTCCTCGCCGACCGTTCAATAATGTACCTGGGTGATCATTCCGGCAACGCTCTCTTGTAACTATCAGACGGCGCTGACAGACCAGCCGCGTACCCTGGCACATTCGATCTCGATTCTGGGTGGTCCTACTGCTTACTGAGTGCCGATACATCCTTCTTTTCATCGCACCAATACCTTCCTTGAAGTGCTGAATGTCCTCAAATACAACGCTACCAGTCATGGTCAAAGAAATATCCATCGACCCCTCGACAGGGCACTACCCCTCGCCATACAGCCTGTCGCCTCTCGGTTCGGTACTCAAGAAGGGACTTATGGCACCAGGTCTACTTGGATTACTATCTGTCATCACAACACTCGGCCTCCTGGGCTTCATCGTCTATCGATTCTCAACATGGAGGCGACACTACAAAACATATGTCGGCTATAACCAATACGTCGTACTTTGTATGAATTTGTTGATCGCCGACTTCATACAAGCTGTGTCCTTTCTCTTCTCGTTCCACTGGATCAGAAAAGATGGCATCTTTGCACCCTCATCGGCCTGCTTCGCACAAGGCTTCCTTCTCAACATTGGCGACTTGACGTCTGGCTTCTTCGTCATGGCTATTGCCTTTCATACATTCTATACTGCAGTCAAGGGTCGTCGTATCGGCCACGTCGGGTTCATTGCGTCAGTACTTTCTGTTTGGGCTTTTGCCATGATCCTGAGCATCATCGGTCCAATCCAATACAAGGACAAATACTTTGTTCGTGCGGGCGCCTGGTGTTGGGCTGGACAGCAGTACCAAACGGATCGACTCGCTTTGCACTACCTCTGGATTTTCATTGTTCAATTCGGAACGATCATCGTCTACCTCTTTGTCCTCATTCGACTGCGAGCAGCTGTAGCGGCTGTGGTACCATCGGTCAGAGTGCAGTCATCCAGCTATGCCAAAGTCGACCGAGCAGCCAAGATGATGGTTCTCTACCCTTTGGCTTACATCGTCCTCACGCTTCCTCTGTCAGCCGGCCGCATGTGGAGCATGGCACACCACGAAAAGAGTCTACCCGACTCCTATCAATGCGTAGCCGGCGCTCTTCTCGCTAGCTGTGGCTGGGTAGACACCCTCCTCTATACTCTGACACGCAAGGCCCTGATTAACGGCGGCGACTCGAACCGCCGCGTCCGCTTCAACAACGCAAAGAGCAGCCGCTCCGATCCCTCCACCAACGATCCCAATGGTGGCTCCATCCTCCAAACCCGCACCGTCACCGTCAGCGCCGGACAAGTGTACGCACTCGACACCATCGACGAAGAGTCGCGCGGACGTTCACAAAACAAACACGCATACAAGAAGAGTTTTACAGAAAGATTGGCACATTCGCCTACGGGTAGCTTGGACCCTATAATCACTGGACATCATTTAGGCGTGGGAGCGGATAAAGTGGGCACGGAGGTTCAAGTGACATCTGCAGCTATCGACACATCCAGCGAGGATGGCGGGTCGAGAGTTTCGAGTTTCGATGACGGAAAACCACCACATGCGCGATGATCTTGACGTGTGCACTTTGATGGCCTTCATTTCTGACTTTTCCTTTGTTCTATATTTGTTTCTTTACTCATCCTTTTGTATATACTGTACCAGAGATACCATTCCTTGCCTGATATGATCAGCTCTTACTTGTTGGAACAAAATTCCCCTCCCTCGTTCTTGCTTGCACGTCTATCAGATATTGACCTGATTTTCCTACTCGAGCTTAGTTACATCTTGCTCGCTCGGCTTAGATTGCGCCTTCCCTACGTCCTCTTGAATCAGCTCCTAGCCATCATGACACTCCGCTGTTTCTTGGACGGACACATACGTGACGATGAATAAGCCAGACGACCGACCGCGCAAGTGAAAAGTCATAAACTCTCACACCAATCATCAAGAAATACTCATCAAGTCACTCAATCTATCAAACACACATCAGACAAACTTCGTCGAAAAATTGCAAAAAGCAAACAACAGCCAGGGTGCTACCCAAAACAATGCTTAAAAACACACATGACTATACTACACCATCACTTTACATTCGATCATCTTCGGCTCGAGTGTAGAAAGTAGTCTACATATCCTTGAGCCTTGTTATGAGAGTCACTTACGATGAGATATAAAATCGGTGGCAAGAAACCGAAAAAAACATGTTTTTAAAAGTGATTACTGGAGAAAATGATTATACATTTTGGACAGCTGAGGAAGATTTGGGATGTTGGTGGATGTGAAAAGTGTAAAACAAAGATATCTTCATTTCCACGAGACTGTGATAGTGCACAACTTTGTATAATCAGTACTGATGTATGCTGGATCAGATCTGCATGGTTCATCAGTCATTAGAGAAAGTGATGCCGCCGTGGTCGTCAGAAGAAATTTTGGAGATGTTAAAACTGTTGTCGAGGTCTTCACCCTGTCTCAGCATCACGTGCTCAAGAAGAGACTGTCCGATTTGTTGGTAACAATCAGCCATCTCAGAACACATTGACATTGACCAAAGTGATCACTAGGACAGTCGGGACTGATAAAAAAGATAATTAGTTGAACGTAAAAAGAGACATTTTCATTTCTAAGCTTCCACCGCACAAAAGACTAAGTAAAAGTATCAAATGCGCAAACGAAGAGCTATAGCTCGCAGACAACAATAAGGAAAGCGAATGCTTAAGTGTTTTATAGTCGTACGTCCGACCTCCCTCCATGCGATTAGCATGGTCGAGAGGATTGGAGCGTTGTTGTCCTGCTTCCTTCCCACATAACTTCATCCTAGATCAAGTCTACCCAGCCGCGTCCAAAATCGTGAGAGGGTATGCTCGAACATACTCCTGAGATGCTCATGCGGGTATCGGAAAGGTTTCCCATCACTCGTTGATGGAATTCCCTTAGAGCTTGTCGTAGTAGTTCTCGTATCCGGGAACCTCGGGCTTGAGACCCTTGCGCTTGCGCATGTCCTCGGTGACTTGACCGGGGAGGGTGGTCTTGTCCAGGGGAGAACCACCGGGGAGGACCTGCCAATGGTCGAAGACCAACTGGGGGAAGGCCTGACCGGAGGTGGCGGCGCGGAGATCTGCGTTGAAACCGAAGGACTCCTTGACGGGAAGGTAAGCCTTGATGTTGAACAGGGGAGTTCCGGGACGCTGGGCCTCCTCGAAGACGTGACCACGACGACGGGTAAGGACAGAGTAGATACCACCCATGGCCTGCTCGGGGACCTGGATCTCGACCAAGAAGACGGGCTCGAGAAGAGCGGGGTCTGAGAGGAGGACCGAGGCGTAGAGGACACGACGAGCGGTAGGGATGACCTGACCACCACCTCTGTGGATGGCATCGGCGTGGAGGGTGACATCCTGGATGTTGAAGCGGACGGAGCGCATGGGCTCCTCGGCAACGGGACCTTCCTTGGTAGCCCACTGGAAACCGGAAACAACGGAATCCTTGATTTCGTTGAGGTACTGGACAGCCTTGGTCTGGTCAACCAACAAGTTGGCACCGTTGGTGTCGGGACCGAAGCACCAAATCTTACGGGCATCAGTGACGTCCCAACCGAAGTCATCGGCGAGGATACGGGCACGAGCCTTAAGATCGTCACGGGGAGCGATCTTGCCGGCCTCAATGGCGAGCGAAACCTCCTCGGAAAGGGGCTGGGCGGTCATGTAGATACGGTTGTGCTTGTTGGGGGACTTAGACAGGGCAGTCATGGTTGAGTCACCGGCAACGGTCTCACGGTACTGGACGACAGGGTCCGAGATACGGAGAGGAACACCAGCGTGGTCCTCCTCGAGATCCTTCAAGCAAATCTCGAGATGGAGCTCACCGGCACCAGCAACAACGTGCTCACCGGAGGGGGTGATGAAGGTCAGGACACAAGGGTCAGACTTGGACAGACGCTTAAGACCCTCGACAAGCTTGGGCAGATCGTTGGCGTTCTTGACCTCGACGGAGCGCTGGACAACGGGGGAGACAGAGAACTTCATGACCTTCATGTTGTGGGCAGTCTCAGAGGTGGTGAGAGTACCAGACTTGAGCAAGAACTGATCAATACCGACGAGACCAAGAATGTTACCGGCGGGAACATCCTCAATGGGCTCGGTGTAACGACCCATCATGAGAATGGTGCGCTGGACGGACTTGACGAACAGGTCGTCCTTCTTGCCAGGGGTGTAGTTGGGGCCCTGGATGCGGACCTTGAGACCGGAACGGACGGTACCGGCGAAGACACGACCGAAGGCGTAGAAACGACCCTTGTCGGAGGTGGGGACCATCTTGGAGACGTAAAGCATGAGAACACCCTTGGGGTCACAGTCGCGGATGGCGATAGCGGCCTCATCATCAGGGGGACCCTCGTAGAGAGTCTCCATACGGTACTTCTGGGCAGTGGCGGGCGAAGGAAGGTGGAGAACCATCATCTCAAGAAGAGCGTCAGCGGCAGGAAGGAACTTGCGCATGACGGTCTTGAGGAGCTGCTTCTGCTGGAGCTCCTTCTCGTCAGCGGTGAGCTTGATGTCGAGCTTCTCGCAAAGCTTGAAGACCTCCTCGTTCTTGGCGTTCATGACGGAAGAGAAGATGCGGAAGATGGGGTCAAGGACGAACTGGTTGAAGGCACGCTCGGAGTCGTCACCAGCAACCTTGGTCCACTTCTTGGTCTTTGCGTTGAAGAAGTTGTCGCCCCACAGACGGTCCATCATCTTGTTCTTGTCGACACCGAACTTCTTGGCGTAACGACCGGCGAACTGACGGATGGTGAAGGCCCAACCGTGGAGACCGGAACCGAAGGCAACGGTACCCTTCTCGGGGTAAACCTGGACATCACCGAGGACTTTGTCGAAGTAGGTCGAGATGACGACGTTGACGGACTCGATGACACGAGAGAAGTTCTGGTAAAGATCCTCCTTGGAGAGCTGGAGCTCGAGGAGAGCACGATCGACCTTGTTGATGATGACAACGGGCTTGATACGCTCACCAAGAGCCTGACGAAGGACGGTCTCGGTCTGGACACAGACACCCTCGATGGTGTCGACGACAACGAGAGCACCATCGGTGACACGGAGAGCAGCGGTAACTTCAGATGAGAAATCAACGTGACCAGGCGAGTCGATCAAGTTGATCAAGAACTCGTTCTTCTCGGTCTTGACGGGAATGTCCTTGAGGTCCTCCTCGTCCAAAAGCTGGGCGAAAAGGGAGATGGCGGTGGACTTGATGGTGACACCACGCTCCTGCTCGTCGGGACGAGTGTCGGTGAAACGGGCCTCACCAGCCTTGGCCGATGAGATAATACCGGCACGCTGAACAAGGGAGTCGGTAAGAGTCGACTTTCCGTGATCGACTGCGACAGTTGTCAGTTGATGTTCAGTGTAGGCGTTCATTGTCTGTGGAGCTTACCGTGGGCAATAACGGACATGTTACGGATGTTGATGGGGCTGCGCGCTTGTCAGTACTCTACTCGGACCTGCTTGTCATAGCGATTGTGCGAACCTATCCATCAAGCCGCGGATCTGATTGTTGCATTAGTCTTCCGTTCGATGCGCAAAGTCTTGTGTGATGTATAGCTTACCTCCTCAACGGTGAATCTGACCATGTTGGCGGTATTGTATGGGTATCTTCTTAAAAAGTTTTATGTGTCGGTCCCCGCTCTCAATAGTGCGTCAAGCACTTGTAAATGTGTAAATTGAAAGAGAGCCTGCCTGTGAGAGAAGAATGTGAGCGATCGAGTTAACCCAGGCGACGGCGATGGTAGAGGCTGACCTGAGACGAGGCGATGGAGTCGATGAGGGGGGAAAGAGAGAGGGAAGGAGAGCTCGCTTTGTCTGCGTGGGAGGAGACACCGATTTTTGACGAGTGGGGTGTGCGAGCGCGCTAGTGCCAAGTGGCGGCAAGCCGATTGGAAAGAGAAAAAATCGTCGACTTGACAAGAAGCACGGTCCGTGCTCAGTTATACGCCGATTGACCTATTCGCGATACACCATGACCATTGCGGTGACCGGACGTAGACACTCGATGAGACAATTCCAGCATGTGATTACAGCTCATGTATCGCGAAGGAATATCGATCACTCGGACAGCTCAAAAAAGCTACCTAAGCTCACTATAGCTTCTTCTTCAAGCTTGCCTGGCATGCAGTCCTCACCTGGAGAAGCAACATCCAAACTCTACTTTCACCGAGCTCACCGAGCTTCGACCAGGACACCGCACCTATTGATGTGGCAAACTCTCTTTTTCATCTCAGTCTCCACCAATTGACCCGAGATTCGACCTTCAACTGTTACTGTACGAGTATTATTCCATGCTGTTCGTGTTCATCTAGTGCGACGAACGTGTACTTCAGCCCTCGCAAGCTTGCCGAGCTTTGCTGCCCAACGAAGATCGACGGCTGGGCCCGTTGTGAGGCCAACCGCTTGCTACTCGCCACTTGATTATGAGTAGTGATAACAGCACAAGGAACTGACCGATACTCGTATCGACATCCCTTGTCCTGAACCACAATGTCTTGTCTATTGCAGCAACAGAAGGCGCTTGATGGAAATACACAGAGTCGAAGTCCTGAGATAGCTGTACTATCAGACCATCTGTGGTCAGCCTTCGCACTTGAAGCAATGAAGGAGAGGTGTGCAAGAGCAAACATGAGCCTTAGAGTGAAAATTGAGGCACCTGAAGCTCTCATTGTGATTAAAAAGAATGTACAGACCTATAGACAAGAAAAACTCAAAGAATATATGTGTTGCATGAGCTGGCTTCATTCATCCTGACCCTCCTCAGGATGATCCCAAAATTCTCTCGTAGGCGTCCTCGACCTCCTTTGCGACTTCCAAAAGCGTGACGATCACGACTTGATGCGTGACATTAGGCAGCCTCTCTCTGTGCAAACCAATCCACTCGAGCGGTGGAGTTGCTTCACCCATATCCCTCAGCTGCGGTGTCTCAATGATGGGAGGCTCAAGCGCCGTGTATTCAAATCTCGATTGTGGCATATTCACAACAGCAGTAATCTTGCCTTGCTGCTGTTCACTGCTACCGTCAGTCATGGTAATGTGGTCCTTCGTCAACAGCTTGTTCTCGGGTTCGTCGGCTCTGATCTTGACTGCGGATTCGGGAAGTGGTTTGCCTAGCCTGGACGCAAGGCTGCGAGAGTGTGTTTCCCACATGCCTCGGATGAAGCTGATGCGTGAGTAGTTCCAGCCGACATCAACCTTACCTTCGAACAAGCTCTTGAAGATGAAATCGATGTTGTTGTCTTGAGGCTGCTGCCATGTTTGCATCGAGGCAATGACCTTGGGTACCCGAAGGATGATACCGCCTTTAGCTCCTGTAGCACTGCTTATTACATCATCGATAGAGACGTCTCCAAGTGTCTTGGGTACTCCGACTCGTTTGACTTGAGCAAGCGCCACTTGCAGCTGACCTAGAGTCATGCCGAGGTTACTGTGGACGCGTTCATCTTCCAATCCTACGGCAAAGCGTGCTTGAATTTCGGATGCCTCCATCTTCAAGATTTGGTTGTCAAAGAAGGTACTCGGGAATGCACCGAAGCAGACAGACTTCAGCATGACCATGACATCAGTGTGAAGCGTGATTGGGAACTTGCTCTTGCTTCTCTCGGTCGTATGTCTTCTTATTAGTGCATGCGGTGGAGGTCCTGATTTGGGCTCCGGTTGTATCTGTGCTACTGAACGTCGCCTCAACTGCTTGTCCAGGTCGACCATTGATTGCCTATATGCTGTCTGCTTTTCTTGGACTAGACGGTCGAAAGCCTGGTACAGACCTACAGCTTGAGCTGGACTAGTTGCAGTACAGAAGACGTACACCTTCTCACCCTCAAGAATAGCTTTCAAGCGATCAGGAGCGTGCGGACCGTCTCTCACATTATACATGAGGAAATTGAAAGCCTCAATATCTGCGAATGCGAATGGCTGATAATCCAAAGCGCTCTTAGCCGAAATCTTGCCAAAGCCAATCGCAGCTTGAATCAGAGGAGCCTTGTGCACTTGTCGATCAGCACTTGGCCACTCGATTGAGGTTCGCACAGACACGTCGCTCAATTCCACAAAGCCGCTCATGCGACCAGTACTATTGATGCTGACCTCATCCACACCTATACAGAGGTCTTGCTTCCAGGTCGAAGACTTCTTTGATGACGCCCAGAGGTTCTTGATACACAATGAGGATTTGCCAATACTTTGTCCCAGATCGAGGTCAACGGCGAGCTCAGCGACAGTGACAGTGGCATTCCAGGGGAACGCTGCAGCGGCACTGACTTGCTGATACCTCTGCACGACCATCTTGTCAGGCTCCTGATGCGAAGGCTCGGCTGACATTGCACTCGTGTCTCGTAGCTCTGGTGGGAACCAAATCTCACGGAACAAGAGCAGATCTTGAATCTGGCGGACATTCAACGCAGTCCTGGTGGGAGAAACCTTGAGTACCATTGACACACCGCTGGAGCCGCCAGTCAAGTGTCTGCTGTTCATGAGCGACATGGAAATGGACTCCATGTCGAAGCTGAACGTTGACTCGCGGGAATACACATGTTGTACGGAAGCACCGAGCTTGGTCACTGTGGCTGACAAAGCAAAGAAGTGTCCAAAATGATGCGAGTTGATAGTGCTCATGGTGATGTAGATGTCCTCAATCTGCGCCTTTGCATTGACACGAGCAAGAGGTTGGCAACTCAGACCAAATTCTTGTTTGCAGATACGCAGTCCCAGATTAAGTTTCATCTGACCTATGAATTGACTTGGATCAGTGGTAAGTAAGGAGTCGTCTTCCTGAAGTCTTTGAAGCTTCAGGGCTTGTTCCTCGGCGATCTTGGGAGTAGATGGGGTCTTGCGCTCTTCTTCACCGTGTCTCACAACCTCTTTGATGCCGTGCGTGATCTGAAGGATGATAGGCACTAGCTCGGGATAAACCGTATTGCTCGAACCGTCAACCTTAATCTCACCATTCAGTATCTGCTCTTTGTCTGGCAGATTCGAGTATTCTACTTTGATAGCGATGCCTGGGGCTCTAAGCGACGTTGCGATATTATCCTGCGAAGCGTGGCTGTTGGCACGATTACGTTTGTAAGGTAGATCGACATGTGCTGGGCGAAGGGGAGTGCTGGACTGAGTCGGCGCATCACCCTGGATGTAGAACAAAGCGCCCTTGAAGTTGACGTCAGCCTGGACTGAAGCCAGACGCTTATCACCGAACGGACTAGCTCGTGGCGTTGATTTACTGTCCATTGGAGTCGTATCGGTCTGCCAGCTCAACTTCGCGGCGCGGTATTGATCAACAGCAGCAGAGATTGATTTCTGCAACATGCTGACAGGGACGACAAACTTTGAGTCCAGGCGTATATCGAGAGCTTGACCTGCAGCTTGACACGCGATTCGAACACCATCCTTGCCACTTTCGTACCTGACCGTGAAAACGACTTCAGGTAGCAGAGCTGAGTTTTCAGATCTCTCAAAGGCTTTGTGATGTTTAGGAACGACCTGAACTTGAAGATCTTGAATAGACAAGCGAGCTTCGTTCTGTCTCTGTATAGCGAGATGTATGCGTGAGAACGAGACTTCCAGATCTTGTGGCTTTTGATCACCCGCAGTGGATCGGTTTCGGATGACGACCCAGATGATGCGAATCTTGCGCAGATCAAGAGAAAAGTCGAGTAGAGCAGGTCTCGTGGATGGCACTTCGGTCACAGACTCTTCTTCTTCTTCTTTGATCGAGCCCGGAGCAGGTGGAGGCAGATATTTTCGTCGCTTGTCTCGGGAGTGTCGCAATCTTCTGAGGTACTCCACTTCTCTGGAAAGATCGAGATCCAAGATCTTACGGTGAACATGTGTTACAATGTCCACAATAGTTGAGGCCGTGTCAGCGTAGAGGAACACATCGAAAGACTCACTACGTGCTTTGATATCTCTTGTGATTGGTCCAGACACAGGTTCTTGTGTGCAACAATCCACTGCGACACTGACAGTGACATGACCACAGGGACGACGCTTCCCGTCCTCGATAAGTGTCAGGACAGCGCCGATGTCCTGGATCTTACCGTGAATGTCGGGGAAAGCGTCACTCGCTTGACGAGTCTTGTTTGTCACAGCTGCTTGTACAGCTCCGACACCCAGGGTCAACTCCGCACGAGCCTTGCCGGCCGTTAGCACAGGAGCGAGAGCCACAATCTTGAAGCCAGCTAAAGTCGTATTCACATCATAGATAATAACTCGACTTTGTTCAGCCACAGCTTTGGCCGGCTTTTCGTCCTTTGCTAAAGTCTTTGTAACTCTCTGGCGCAGATCTGACACTTGATCTCTGATTGCCTCTAGGACGTCCTGCACCTCGGGCCTGTTCATAATTGTTAAGACACTCTGAACAGCGGAGGCTTCCAAAAGTACTTCTTCCATGATTCCAGTGAAATTGATGTTGACTTTTTCCTCCGTAAATTCAAGATTGAGAGTGCTGCTAGCGGGAGGGGTGTTAAAAACTGCCCTCTGTCTCTTTGATCCGTCCTCCTTGCGGATAAGAGCTTGCTCCATAGTCCCCAGATGGAGCTCAATAGACCAGGCAGGGTTCGATCCTGACATAGGGCGGACGCGAAGATTCGCTGTATCGCCTCGTACTGACAGATTTAGTGCTTTGAGCAACGCGACATTCAACGAGAATGAGCCAGCCAAGAAAGCCACATTCAGTTTCAATTCGCGCTCTGGCTTGGGCGGGCCTTTGGTGGCGACGCTTTTCTCTTGCTCTTTTTGAACATGTTTTTGAAAGCGCTGGATATAAGCCACTTCATCGACCAGCAATTGATCAACAACTTCGAGCAGTCCTAATGTCTCCTGCTCGAGTGAGATATGCAGTTGTTCATATGAGCCTCCGACATTCACCGCGGTTGTGTACTCTCGAATCGTCTTTTTCACGTCGATGTATATGCTTGGCGATACTAGATCGGTCCTCCAAATTCTCTGCTCTGGACCGTGCAGTTCGGTAAAAGCCTTCCTGGCTGAGATGAGCAGACTGATGCATTCACCATAGTCTTGAGAGGCTTTGTCAGATCCGATCAATGACATCTTGAGGTTGTTGCATGTGGACACATGTCTCAGGTTGACCGTTTTTAGCTCAATACTACCTTCGTCGGTAGACAAAACCACGTGGAAATCTTGTCTGAAGGAGAGCTCGTCCAGTGCTTGTTTCTCTACTGGCTCTGGTAAAGTGTCTAGCGTATGACTGACTTGCTCAAAGTAAATGTCGATGAAAGCATCCGCTTGTTCCAGAATATCCCAGTTGAGTCGAAGCACTGACGCTGCAGTGTGGGCTTGGAAGACAGTTTTAGATCTTAGATTCTCCTCCACTAGCATGAGCCCGGATGGTAAGCTAGGAGGTATGACCGTAACACCGATGGAGAGAGTGCCCAGAGAAACCTCGCTAGACGATTTCTCTGACTCGACAGCAATACGTACGACCCCAGCACGTAAGGTTAGGTCGAGTGGCTCGATGTCTTCTTCCGGAATCTTAGCTTCGATATCACCAAGCAAAAGTTTGAAGACTTGAGTCTGCTCCACATTTGGTATATCCCAGCTGCACCACGCCGCCCAAGTTTCGAGAATAGAAGACGTCTTCTTGAGAGAGTCGGTACCGTCCGAAAGCTGTTGCTCCAATGCAACACGACTTTCGTCCGAGAGACACTCGTAGATGTGTCGAAATCGAGCAACAATTTTCCATGACTCTTGGTTGCGGAAGTGGTCTGGGAACGCGCGGAGAACGTAGGTCATACGCGAAAGGTATGGTGGGTCAGTAGACACGTCCGCGTGCTCAGTAAGATAGTCGGTCAGATTTCTCAGTCTCGCTTTAGCGCCAATCTCAACTGCATCGGCTTGCTTCTGGATCTTTGTGCCAATAGCCGCATATCTAGAGAACACAGACGCCAGATAGTCCGCTTGATTGCCTGAGATGACACCGAGTAGATCTTTGAACGAGACATGTACTGACTTGGACTTTGACAAAACCATCCAGATTAGAACATCGTCAAAACCAAGTCGAATGGCGTAATCGGACTTTGTGATCTTCTCCAAGGGATTCGAAAATTTGGCAAGCGCCGAGTCTAGAGTCAAGTGCATTGTCACAGCAGACCCAGTCTCGGTGTCCGGAATAGGTTTCGTCCGAAGCGTCATATTGAGGTGACTCAAGCCAACGTCTAATTGATCTTGTACCGGCACGGCTGTGGTTCGACTTGTGTCAAGCTTCTGGTCGTTGAACAGCTTAGCATCGATGCTAGGCACCACCAGATTCAGCTCAGTGATGCCACGACGGCTCTTTTTTTGGTCTTGGACTTGTTGCACTCTTCCCATTACATCCATCTGGAAAGTGTCAATCACATCTTCCGACCGTGTTGGCTGAAGAGCTGTGACAATGTTCACAATGGTCTCGCTGATGCGTGGTTCAACATAGATCCGTATACCTGGAATCATACGGATCAAGAATGTTTGTTGGTCTAGATTTCCATCTGGGTCTAGGTTGATACTCCAATCGCTCTGCGACGAAGTTTCTGAAAGGTCATCCGCTTCATCTACTATCGTTGAGAACTGCGGCACTTTGCTCAGGTCGGCGTCGACATCGAGACTTTGAGGGTCTGGTACAGAAAACGGACTCCACAAACCCACAGTACCCAAAGGCTGGGCAGTTTCCGATTTTGAATAATACATTGAAGGACGAGCCTGTTGCACATCATCTAAATCTCCTTCTGGAAGAGCTTTCTGAGTAGGGATGGGATTGACAGAAGAGCTTGAGCTGATCGACGACTCGATTGAGCCATCGGCCGCAAATTCTAATTCTGGCGGTCCTCTACGAAGCGGATCGGGTAAATTGGGCAGCCTCATAGAAGGTGTGTCAGTGAAAGTGTTTCCTCCGTCCGTGTGTGCTTCGAGTTGGTTCTGTCCAGCTTGATCTCCGTAGTCCGTTATCAGGAATCTAGCTCTGCTAGTCCTGGCATCTTGTCTCCGTATGTGATCTTGTTGCTTTTCGCGCTCGGCACTGAAGTGTGCTTTTCTTTGAACCATGGTCATATCAAGGCTGGTTTGAAGGTATGCAATGCAGCTCGCAGGTTTCACGTCAGCGCGAGATCCTCGATGAGCCATAGAGTCTGATTCAACGCATGTTGCGGTGATATTTGGGATGTGAAGATGTAGACGAGAAGAGAAGAGACTGTCAGCTCGGTCGTTCTGATTGAGTGTAATAGGGTCCGAACAGAGTCGTATTGCAGACTTGCCTTCGTTGAGCCAGAGACATATGGAACCTGTCTTGAGGCGCAGAAAAACAGCTTCCGGAATCTCCGCAGTCTGTGCCAGGGGCAAGGCGTTTTCAAAATCGTCAAGTGCAAAAGCCACAGCTCGTCCGGCTTTGGCTAGATGTTTCATGAAGTCAAGAGAGCACTCACCCGAAACGTTGCCGAGGCTGACATCCCAGTTTGAAACATAGGCAGGTTCTGTAGGAGGCAGTCCGAAGAGCCGATGGCCTGTGACCATCGCGCTATCAAGTATGATTTGCGGCGAAGAATCATCAAAAGTATCCTCGTCATTGAGCATACCAGACCAAGAAACCGAGACTGGGCTGACGTCCACTGCAAGATCGAGGTAATAATTGGCGACGCGGAGGTCCATCGAAGCGATAGGCAACTCGACCTTGATATAGGTCTCCGCTGAGTAGAGATTTGCAGGCAGCAGAATGACAGGATGCTCAGCAGTAATGCATAGTACCACGTCTAAATCATTGGCAGGTCTGAATGCGAACCTACCGACCATGTTGATCTCCGCATTGGCGGCATCTGATCCAGCATTCTGATATTCCTCTAGTGTTTTGAAATGCAAGAACTCTCCGAAATAATTTTCTTTGACATTCACAAACATGCGTACCAGATACCCAAAAGCTTGAAGATTCAAGTCGGTTCCGCAAATGTCCATTTGCAGCATATCGGTCAAGCCTGGCGATTGTTCCACGAAGAAGGTATGACTTCCACCCAGAGTCAATTTCTTCAATGTCGCAAGTCGCTTCTGTCGTAAGAGACTGTGCAAAGTGATGCGCGGAGGGTTACTGATGTCAAGTGACAAGTCTTTGGCAAGTACATCGAACTTGATACTATTCTGGGCCGGCCTGTACTGGTCGAGAGGTATTTCCAATGTAGCGTGAAGCTTCTCACCATCCAGAACTAAGAAGTTATTGTCCTCTAGATCCGAAGGGTCATTGACAATGTTGGCATCGTTTGCGTTGAGGAAAAGCTTGAAGTTTTTGAAGTTGATGTCCAAGGAATACACGAATGGGACGAAAGTGTAGAAATCCGGAGGCGGACCCATGCCCCAATCAGCGATCAAGTCGGTTAACAGAAACAAATGATCACGCAAAATGTAAAGATCAAGACCATCACAATGGATCTTGAAGACCCATTTACGGAGGGCGTTCCATCGCAGAGGATTTGAGAGGTCTCCTTCCAGCAGCAGATTGCCTGCCTTCCACAACATAGCGTGGTTGACACTGGAAGATATCTCGGTGCCCTTCACGTCCAGGCTCAGGGAATTATGGTAACCATCCTGACGAGCGTACATGTCCATTGCGTAATTGATAGTGGTATCAGCAGCGACTTTGACATCCATCCAGCCAAATGGACGAATGTCGGCGCCTGTGGTCTGCGGTTCCTTTTTGAACCACTTTTTAGTTCCTTTACCACGTCGCTTGCGTACACCAGCGTCAGTTGTCTTTTGCGTGCGGTGTCCTTCAGCGCGACCCTGCCACTTCCAATCTTTGGATGCCTCTCGTGTGGGAATACGAAGAGTGATCTCGCTCTCCAAGCAAAAGAACAGCTTGAACACGGTCGCAACTCTGTTTTGGTCGACAGCGAGACGCTGTGCAGGAACAGCGTCGTGGTACGAGGTAGGAAAGAAGATATTCTGTAATGTCATTCGTTGCCTATCAGCCCACGGACCGTAATGGACTGTGGCACCATCGACTGATAGGTTTAAGCCATATTCTGGTGCAACGGGACCATTCATTTCGTCGAACAGGCCTGATTGACCAGTGATTTGTGATTGTGAGACTTTTCCAGGAACGTCCCAGTAAAAGGTCATGCTCGCCTTCTTCACGTCTGCGACATTTGAGAACCTGGCGTATTCAACATCGTCCCACTCATTGTGCTCGTTTCCTGTTTCATCCAGGTAACGAGCCAAACCTTGCCACTGCGCTTCGCCAGGCAGCTTCGAAGAGTCATTATCGAGAATCTCATCATCGCTAAGAAGCGACGCGGTCCTGATCGAGCGTTTAGAACTGCGATGCCATGTGAACAACCACTTGAGGGCATGCGCTATGGCGCGCGAGATCTTACCCATCCTACGAATCGGATGCAAGCCGAAGAGACCGCGACCTTTCTTTGCTTTGGGATCTTCATCCTTGTCCAGACGTGCAGCTGCCTGCATCTGAGACATCTGATAGTCCGTGTTCGGCTTAAGTGCTACGTTAATATCGTGAAAGTCGAAATTGAACAAGAGCTTGTAAAGATCCAAAGCACCAGACTCATCTGCGTCGATCCTGCCACTCGCGTTTTCCAACTTGGCGGTGAGTATGCTTTGAGAGAAGTCATTACCGACAGCAGCAGCGGCCTTCTTGCACTCAATCTGAATGGGGAATATTCTCAAGAAGGCTGGAATGGCACTTTCGTGAGTTGTGGTCCTAGTTGTGGTCCTGCTTGCAGTTTCGGCCAGGAGAGACTCGCCATTGCTACTCGGGGTGTCTTGACGATTGAGATCATCTGCAGAAGGCACCTCCTTTGTAGTCTCATCGCTAGATACGTTGGCGCTTGGATAGCTTGGGTCTTTTGTGCGCGCCTTGTTCTGGAGGTTGTTGATGATGTTGTCGTAAACCGGACTCTGGTTGTACAGGAAGGCCTCGACACCGGAGACTTTGACGAGGATACGACAAGGGAGATTCTTTTGGCGATCCCCACCAGCAGCTTCGGCCTTTCCCATGCTCTTACTCCTAGGTCTGGTCTTCTCATGCGAACCATCTGAGCTGGCGTGATCACTTTCGGCTGCATTGTGGCGTTGGTGGAGTTTCTGCACGATCAGAGGGTCTTGGACTTGTCGCAACCAGTACCGCCAGGTGATGTGGCCATCATGGACAAAGACGGTCTGATTCTGGCCATGATAGCGAATGGACTTGAAGAAAAGGCGACCTCCTAATGGCGAGATCTGGAACGAAGTGATGTCGATATAGGCGCGATATTTATGCCAGGTCCAGGCACGAATCGCATAGGATATGATTGTCGAAACGGTGCGATTGAAGTAGAAGATGAAGAAGAGGGCCAGGATTCCACAGACAATCAGGTCGACGAGAAACAGCCCGTTGAAGCCTCCTTCCTGACCCAAGGGCTGCGCTGTGAGGCCGTTGCTTGCCATGTTCGCTCAGCCGAGTGAAGGACTATCATGTTGCGACGGTGAGAGACATGCGGTCAAGGGAAAGGGCGTCCTTGGGAAGTTGCGATGCGAGTTTCATGTGCGCCCGAAATGTTTAATGATCAGGAAGGAACGCGACGGGCCCCGGCCCCGCCAAGGCGATCGTCATTGCGGTGAGCATTGAGCGCGTGCCTTCCCCACGGGAGACAGTTTAACTTTCACCGTTCGCATGACGGCCTTTCCAGGCACGCATGTCCCAAAAGCCTGCCTATCTCGCCCTCGACGCCTCATAGCCATGTTCTGTCCGGAGACTTAGACTCGCCAACATGGAGTACGATATGCGAGCAACCTCTGCCGCTCCCGTCTTCGTCATGGGCAAAGAATCCAACAATAGCGGAGGCACAGGCAGTCGCTTTGCCCGCGCCGTCACCATCGTTGCTGGTGTCGCTGCTCTGGTCGCTACCATCTTGACCTTTCTGTACCTTCTCCAGCTATCTCGTAATAAGCTCAACTGCTGACAGTCTATCCGCAGATCAACATGGCTTCAAAGGTATGCCCTGTCGCAACTAGCCCTGGCCGTCAACCCAGCACTGACTCGACTAGCAAAAACTATCGCAAGCCGCTGCTTCAGCGCTATGTTATTCGCATCCTGATCATGTTCGTTCACCCTGCTTCTCCTCCTCCTTCTCCTCCTCCTTCTCCTCCTCCTCCTCCTTCTTCCTTTGCTCATCTTTGTCAGGGTACCCATCTACTCTGCGTCGTCATGGGCTAGTCTGGTCTCCCTCAAGGCTGCCTTCTGGATTGGTCCCTTCCGCGATGTCTACGAAGCCTTTACTCTCTATGCCTTCTTCCAACTCCTGATCAACTTCCTCGGCGGCGAACGATCCCTTATCATCATGATGCATGGCCGAGCACCTGTCGCGCATCTCTGGCCCATGAACCATTGCCTACCCAAGGTCGACATCTCGGACCCTCATACCTTCTTGACAATCAAACGTGGTATTCTACAGTATGCATGGATCAAACCTGTGCTTGCCACTTCGACCATCATCATGAAGGCTACCGATACCTACCAGGAAGGATATATCGGCCTTACATCAGGTTACCTGTGGAGTGGCATCATATACAACGTCAGCATCACCCTTAGTCTGTACGCCCTCGCCTTGTTCTGGGTCTGCATGTCCCAGGATCTCAAACCCTTCCGCCCCATGCCCAAATTCTTGTGTATCAAGGGAATCATCTTTGCCTCTTACTGGCAGGGGTTCTTCCTGTCTATCCTCGTCTGGTTGGGCGCAATTCCCGATGTCAACTCACAATACTCGGCAGATAACGTCGCTGCTGCCATCCAGGATGCTGCCATTTGTTTTGAGATGCCCATCTTCGCCATAGCGCATTGGTACGCCTTCTCTTGGCACGACTATGCCGATAAGACCATCTCAGATGCTCGTATGCCTGTCAAATTTGCTTTGAGAGACGCTTTTGGCCCTCGCGACTTGATCGAGGATGCCAAGGAGACCTTCTACGGCACCAAGTACGAGTACAGATACTTTGACGCCGAAGACAATGTAATTGCACACGAGCAGTCAGCTTCGCGTGCTGCCAGAATGAGGGAAGGCATGCGTTATGGAAGAGGCGGCAAGGGTAAATACTGGCTACCCGAGAGAGGTCATGCGGATGCAAACACGCCTCTCTTGGGCGGAAACAGTCGCGCTCGTACCATGAGTCCTGGAGGTGGCAAGTCCCCTTCTCCACATGGCTCGTTCCGATATGGTGCACAATCACCTCCTGAAGAACCTGAGTTGGACGCCGAAGAAGAGTCGCTCTATAGCAGCGCGAGAGCGCTGGAGTTTGGTGATTGGAACGTGAGTTTGAACTCAAAGACAAAACATGCCTAAGCACCATCTAACGAAAACAGTACCCTGTGATCAATACGCACTACGCCAATAGCGATGATAGGATGCGCGCTGAACCGGACATCATCACTGCCTCTACTAATCGTCAACTTTTGCAACCGGGTAGCAAGAACTATCGCGAAAGACGAAAGAGTCAGATCCACAAGATTCAGGAAAATGCTCACCAAGGCAAGCACCGTGATAGTCGCGGTAGTGGCAGTAGCAGTCGATCCAAGGCCAAGTCATCGATACCCATCATTGGCAGTCTGTTGCGACATGAGTCGTCCGAGTCTGCAGTGACGGTGAAGTCACACAATAGCCAATTGGTCGACCTCATTGTGGAGGATCACCAAGCAGAAGAGGTTGAGCGTGTCAGAGCGCGCAAAGAAGGTGGACCTGGATGGAATGAAGTGGAGCAGAAGCATTTTGTGTAGGTCGCATTGGCTCATGCATCCTGAACAAGACTGACAAAGCTGCAGCAAGACATATCCCGACGACGACAGTGCTCGAGAAGAAGTTCGCGAGGGCTACAATCCCGATCGTCTCGATCATGTTGACGATGATGAAGCGCATAATCTGAACCAGCCATTCACAGTTGGTGATTATGACGAGGATGAAGAATCTCAAGACGAGCTGGGACAGGATCAGCCTTGGGACAAGCGTGATCATTCGAGCAACGTCACGTCGCCGCAGCCAGAGTATGGTAGTTTCAACGACGAGAGGTCAGCATGGGGAGGACGATAGTGTACGATATGAAGCATAACATTTTATTCACGGCAAAACTCTTCCCATGTCGCATCACCGTTTGAGACAACTCCTCCATTCTATCTGACAGTTTGCGATACTATACCGATTCACAACAAGATTGCTGTACATGTTCGCATGGCATATTGCAGTGACATTCTGTGCGCCGAACAGACTCTGCTCTCGAGTCTGGATCTGCACGTCTTCCGAGCACTACTCCACACAGAGTCACAATAGGCTGAGTAGGTAGTTGTAGAAAGCTTTTGTTCATGGTTTCCCTAAACCAAGGTGAATATCGAGCGAGAAACCCAATAAAGGGCACGCGCACCCTGATATCTCCCATGATCCATCCATCAACATTTCTTCTTCCGTATCTGGCTTGTTTTCTTTCTCTTCTCCCTTCATCTTATACTAGATTAGCGACAAGCTTAGATCATAAGTCTCTCGACCTTGTCCTTGAGAGCGCGGATCTGGCCCATGAGGTCGGAAGCCTCGTTGGTGGTGATGGAGGCAGCGATGACGGCGCGAGAAACACCGCAAGCACGGCCGAGAGCCATCTTGGAGGGAACGTAGATGTAGGCGACCTTTTTAGAAACAGCAAAGTCAGCATAAAAGATCAACAAGGAGTGAGAGAAAGAGAAAGAGAGAGAGTGTGTGTGAAAAGGTAAGGAGTTGCAAAACTCACGTTCTTGTCCTCACAGAGAAGGGGAATGTGGAGGAGAATGGCCAGAGGAGCAGTGTCGGCGGCGAGGATGATGACCTCGGCGACACCGCGGTTGAGGGTCTTTGTGGCCTCGTTGGCACCCTTCTTCAACTGACGGTAGTGGGAAGCTTGCTGGACCAGGTCGAGGATGTTCTGGGTCAGGGCGGCGTCGGCGACGGGCCAAGCGGCGGAGTCGTTCTGCGACATTGTGTTTGGAGGTGGTAGTTGTTTTTGGTGGAGGGAGTCGTAAATATGGCTCGCCCGAGGGTTCCTTGCGGTTTGCTCGCCCGGGGTTCACGGCCGAAAGAGATGAGGGGGTGATGGGACGAAAAAAGTCGTGAGTTTGTTGGAAGAGGGAAAGAATTGTGAAGCTCTGGAAGATTTTGTTCAAGACGTGTTCGGCAGGGCTCTCTCGGTGACGGGCTTGGCGTGGGTAGGGCTGCTCGGATGGCTAGCGTGGTCAGGGCTGGGCCGAGAGAGCCAGGGCCACCTTCACATGTTTAGACCTGACAGTTTACACCTGACAGCTTGCGTCTTTCGCATCATCATACAATCCTAACCATGGTACGTTCAGAGAATACATATGAAGTGAAAGACAGATGATTGACTAGAGTGAATACAGAACTCGCTCTTCAACTCTGCACTGCGGCAGTCCAACTCGATTCGCAAAGACCTCGATGCCTATGCCGAATCAGCGACCAGCTCCCCAGCTCTCCAAGGCCAACTCACCACCTCCCTCACCTCCTTCACCCGCACACTAGACGACTATGCAAAATCAGCCCAACAAGAACTCGTTCCCGAAAAGGCCTCCAAAGCTCAAGACCGCCTCACAAACTTCCGCGCCGAACTCCTCGACTATCGCAGTCGGTTTGCGCTGCTGAAACAAGAGCATGAAGAGACACTGCACCAGAACAATCGTCATGACTTGATGGGTCACCGTCGTCCGCGTGGCGCAAACGCAACACCAGAGAACCCATACGCAGATGCCGCCATGGCAAGCTCCGCGCGCGACGGCGGCGCAAACCCACTCTTCCGCACCCGCGACGGCTTCGTAAACACCCCCACCGCTGGCTCCTCCTCAAATCCCTACTCCAGCTACCAATCCCCCTACGCTCTCTCCACAGACTCTGGCGACCAGGCACGAGAAAACCACGCCTTGCGCGAGCAAAACTTCTTTACCTCTACCAACGCAACACTGGACGAGTATTTGGAGCGAGGACGTGCAGTGTTGGGCGATTTGGGGGAGCAGAGGGACATTTTGAAGAATACGCAGAGGAAGCTGTATAGTGTTGCTAATACACTCGGCATCTCGGGAGATACGATTCGCATGGTGGAGAGGAGGGCTAAGCAGGACAAGTGGATTTTCTGGGCGGGCGTGGTTGTTTTTGTCGTGTTTGTTTATCTTGTGCTCAAGTGGTTGCGGTGAATTGCATCCTTTGAGATCGAGCTTGATGGACTTGTCAGATTAGCGAGGCGCTTGGTTCAAAAAGGTGTTTTGCTTGCTCCGTTTTAGTGATCGGCACTGAGGCTCTGGTTGCCAATCTATCGGGTCGATTTATATTCCAACTTCACATCCAAGTCGATACTCACATCCCCGAAGACCAACTTGATAAGGCAAGCATCTGTCTCTACGTTACAAATGCTCAGAAGTGAATCCACAACAACAAAGCCATGGACGAAACTATGACGTTCACGGTATGCGACCAGCTTGGCAACATTAGTTGAGATGGGAAAGCTTAAACCGCGATGGCCAGACGCAACCTTCGATCGGCATAGATCGAACAGTCGCACGCGTTCCTGCACATGTGCTCCTACTTGACCGACTCGGCCTACTAACGCGACTTGATTGAGTTGCGATAGGCTTCAGCGATACCATGACAGACCATGGCCTTGAAGCCTCTCCGCAACCTTGGGACCGTCAAGCAGACACGCTGATCGACTTTATCGCCTACGACGACCGTCCTACCTTGCTACTCGACACATCCACTCGCCGTATCCGCTTCTGCAACATCGCTCTTGATTCCCTGCTCGAAGCAACAAACTGCCGCGACAGGCTGCAGGAGTGGGCTGCGAGTCTGTACCATGTCGCAAAGCACTCGACGGGCGAGCCAACCGACCTGGGCGAATTTGCTGGAGAGGCATGGCTGGGAAAGAGCATGGGAACGTCCTTGAGGACTGTCTTTTGTCGCTGGGCTCCTGCGTCCACTACAAACACAGCCAACGCTGCAACACTGGACAAACTCCACATACAGTCTGAATCTCCTCCGGACCGCAACCACGCTACTCCGCTGGGAAGCCAGAAGCTCACTGATATGCACATGGGATGGTTGGAGCCAAAGGATGATCCATGGATGTCCTACGTCAGGAACTACCCCTTTGAGAAGACTGCTCTAGGTCCCATTTCTTCCTGGCACCCGCAACTGCGCAGAGCTGTGCAGAGAATGATGGTGTGCCCGGATACCCGCATCCTCTACTGGGGTGACAAGCACGCCATGATCTACAACGAAGCCGCCATACCCATTGTGGGAAAGCAACATCCATGTCTGGGAATGCCCTTGGCCGACACCTGGGGACAAGTCATGTACGATCAGATCGACGCTACCATCAAGGCAGTTGTCACTTCTGGAAAGGCATTTCAAATGAGGAATATCATGTTTGAGATGCAGAGAGACGGCTTCCCAGAACAAACGTGGCATCACTTCTATCAACTTCCCGTTGTCGATGCACACGATCGCTATCTTGGCTGTGTCTGCGAGTTTGCAGAGAACACCACCGCTGTTGTTCAGGAAAGTAGAGCCGCTGTCCTCGATGCTTGGATCAAGACTGGAGCTAGCGGCACTACCCTGAACCAAGTTTGGTCCGCTGCTGTAGATTCGCTCAGCAAGACACCGATAGATATCCTGGCCGGTTGCATCTACTCCGTCTCTACCGACTTTGGAGGCTCACAGTTTTCTGGAAGTTCTTCTGAAACCCCCGAACCATCGATGATTCCAAAAGACTATATCCTCCAGACTTCCTTTGGACTGTCGAGTATCGAGAACCATCCGCCTCAATCTTTGCTCAAAATCCTGCACACAGCGCCGAGTTTTGAGAAGCTGCTGGTTCTAAGAACGGATGACGACTCGCTTCCTACTGACCTTCGATGGACTACTTCTGATCAAGTCTCGATAAACGCTGTCTGCATTTTGCCCATCACAGACCTGAACAATCGACGACTTGCTATTGGAGTGTTCGGTATGAATCCAAAAAGACCACTAGATGAAGGAAGCAGGTCGTACGTCGCAGGTGTGGGCGATATGCTTCGAAAAAGTGCCATCTTCGTTACCCTGCCCGAGGAGCAAAGGAGAAACGAAGAGATCACATCAGCACTGTCTGATAGATTACAAGTGGCTCTTTTGGAGGCAGAGAAACAAGAGGAGACGTATGCACGTATGGCCAAGCAGGCTCCGATAGGCATGTATATGCTGCGACCTGATGGATACCCCATCTCTGTCAATGACGCATACCTAGAACTGCACGGCGTCTCGCGAGCTCAGTTCTACAAAAACGCAGATGAAGGTCTTGGTTGGACTCCGACGATATACCCTGACGATGCAGAGCTCGTCACCAGCATGTGGCTAGATACTATTGGAGGCAGAAAACCCGTGCAAGCCGAGATACGCCTCAAAGCGCCCTCGGGTGTTCGTTGGGTAGAATCAATGTCGTATGCCGAGCGAGATGATGCCGGTAGCGTGACCTCGGTGCGAGGCTGGCTTCTTGACGTCAGTCCAAGAAAGATGAACGAGCGTCTTGTGAATGAGAAGCTTGAGGATGCGCTTGAGACAAAGCGTGCCACAGAGACCTTCCTCGACATGCTATCTCACGAGATGAGAAACCCTCTGTCGAGTATCCTACAGTTGGCAGATGGCATTATGTCTCTGCTCAAGGAGTCGCTCGCGTCTGACACTATTGAGCCTCTGACAGACTCCGCTCAGACTATTACGCTGTGTGCTAGACACATGAAGACCATTATCGGTGTGCCCAAACGACTTCTCATATTCTGAACGCAATGCTGACAATCAAACAGATGAAGTACTTACCTTCTCGAAGCTGGACTCGAATCTCCTTGTGCTGAGTTTAGAAAGAGCACGTGTCCCGACCATCATTGATACCGCTCTCAAGATGTTTGAAAAGGAGATTGAACATGCCAAAATCACGGCTAGCATCAATGTTGATCAGAGCTATACTGATCTAGGCCTTGACTATGTTCTAGTAGACCCCAGTCGTCTTTTACAGGTGGTCAGTCACAACTTCTCGCCTCTCCAGAATACTTGAGCACAGCAGCTAACAACCTCCCAGATCATCAACTTTATATCCAACAGCGTCAAGTTCACCAAGTTTGAGAAGGAGCGAAAGATCAGAATCAATCTCGCTGCTTCTGCGACCAAGCCTACGGAAAAAGACTTTGGTATCGCATTCTTGGCTCCGCGTAAGGATCTCAGCAAAGACTCTTCTTTGCCTACTACACCTGTCTCATCTGTGCCAGAGTGGAATCTTGGAGAGGAGGTATACATCTATGTCGGTGTTGAAGACACTGGACGAGGTCTCACGGAAGATGAATGTAAAGTCTTGTTCCAAAGATTCGCTCAAGGTAAATGATTCCCCCTCAAATGCAATCTCACGAAGCAAACGCTGACAAACTCAAAGCTTCTCCCAAGACCTACAAGACCTATGGTGGAAGTGGTCTGGGTCTGTTCATCAGTCGCGGTTTGTCCGAACTCCAAGGCGGACAAATCGGTGTAAAGAGTACAGCAGGAGTTGGCTCGACCTTTGCCTTCTTCATAAAGACCCGCCGGACTGACCCGCCTAGACCTGCTTCTCGAGCAGAATCGGTAGCTTCGACAGAGGCATTGACTGATGTGCATCACCTGCCTCACCATGAGGGGAAGCAAGATGTTCAGGTACTCACGCTTTCTAGTGTGGCAGAGGAAAGCAGTATCTCAGTCAAAGATCTACACATACTTGTCTGTGAAGACAATGCCATCAACCAAAAGGTGCGAATTTCACTACCACCCAAAAAATTCAAGACTTGAAAATTGACGTTATCTCCACAGGTCATAGCACAACAACTCCGCCGTCTAGGCTGCCACACCGTCCACGTCGCCGACGACGGTCTAGCAGCCCTGACCTTCCTCTCCACCACCACCTTCGCCTCTCCGCAATCCACCATCCCTCTATCTCTTATCCTCATGGACGTCGAAATGCCAGTCATGGATGGCCTAGGCGCCGTCCGTCGCATTCGCGCCATGGAGGGCAAGGGAGAAATCTCCAGACATGTCCCTGTCATTGCGATTACGGCGAATGCAAGACAGGAACAAGTGGCTACGGCTCTGGAGGCGGGGATGGATGAGGTTGTCACGAAGCCGTTTTTGGTGAGGGAGTTGGTGCCGAGGATGGTGGCGCTTGTGCAGAGGTATGCTTCTGGTGGGGGATGAAGAAGGTGCCTTTGTCACACGCAACCTTATGACATTTGGAACGTGCGAGATTGCATAATCGTGGGGATTCAAGATGCTTTTCGATGACTTGAGCAGCTCTGTCCATCTGCGACTCTTCGGTTCTGGCTACTCTTATACCAAACTTGTTGGACGAGGTATCACGAGCACGAATACTGGACTGTCTCTCTCTCTCTCTCTCTCTCTCTCTCTCTCTCTCTCTCTCTCTCTCAACACTTGAGCCGACCATCTACGCCCATGACCTTGAGCCGAACCTTCCAAGGCATCCCGTCTACACGCCGCACTTCCGACACCCAATGCACAAGCCACGATGTATCACCCATGCACAAAAGCCTCCAAGCCAGGTACCGAATTCCGCCCGTGCCCACGCCTCTCGTTACAACACCAACGTCCGATACAAAAGCCCGACAATTACGTATGGACCAAGTGCTAGTGCAGGTGCGAAGCCGGAGAAGGAGTAAACCCATCTGGGCAGAGGGCTGTGAAACCACTACATGCACAGTTTCACCCCCCCCCCCCCCCCCAACAAAAGTCGTGGAAAGACATGCTCAGAAACATCGGGCTCGGTTTTTATGAGATCCTTTGATGGAAAAAGATGGCAAGGAGACAGCAGAGCGGCAGGTCAACATCACGGTTCGTCGTTTAGTTTGTCTCTCCTCTACCATACTGTGGAAGGGAAGGTGTAACGAAGTACCGCGTGGTATACCATTCCCTTCCTACCTCTCTATCGCGAGAGCGATGAGGTGAAGGGTAATGGATACATCAACCTCCCAGAGCAGATATCAAGACGGAAGAAGAAGAAGCCTATAAAACAGACAAACACACAGCCACCATTACTCCTTGAATAGAGTTTGGAAAATGGCACACCACTGCGCTGTTTCTTCACGGTACGAAAACTTCTCTCTCCTTGAAGGGAGACGAAATGTATGGTTTTATGCGGGTACAGAGAGATAGATATAAGAGGTGCTTCTAGAATTATGTCAACCGCATCTTCTCCATCTTCTCTATTCGTCTATAATGTGATACGCGCTGTCAGGCACACGAACCATGATGTGAAAGGGGGATAGACGAGGGGACATGGGCGAGAGCAGCGCAAATCTCCAACAAGAGACATGTAGACGCGAGAGGCACGTGTAGAAATACGTACGTGACATCTCCTCCATTCCACTCCATCTGTCGGTAGCATACCGCTCCGCACTCATTCACACGTATCGCCCCTCAAGAGGGAACAGACAAGAAACCAGGTACGTAAAGAAACGGCAAGGCCCACGTCCATTGTGACGATAAGCTATTCCAATATTCCACAGTATACCTTCGATTTAGTCAACTATGATTCCTAATCATAACTGCTCACCTTATCACACACACACCACCTTGAAAACACCAAGATAAAAAGAGGAGAGGGCAAAAGGAAAGGAAAAATAAATTAACGACCACCAAGGGTCACTCCTCAAGAAAAGAAGGAAAGAAGAGGAGAGTGTGTGGGTATCGAAAAAGAAAGAAAAAAGAAGAAAAAACTCCAGCAAAACTCCAAAAACCAAAACTCCAAAACCCAGAACCCAGAATCCAGAGAAAAAGAAGAAACCACATTCTTCAAGACGATTGTTGTCCATGACGAAAAAGGTCACTGACAGCGATCAATACAGTCCGAGCTCCATGCGCATCTTGAGGATCATCAGACGAAGTCCAGGGGATCCACCGGCATCGTCGTTGTTGTTATTGTTGTTGTTGTTGTTGTTGCCGTGCTGACCAGGGGGAGTAGAGGGGCCAATGATCTCGTTATCTTCTTCCTCCTCTCCAGCCTCGGCATCATCGTCCCCGTCCTCGTCTTGAGTGATAGCATCGGCTTCGTCACTGCTCAGACCGTAGAGGTCGTCGTCTTCGCCAAAGTCGAGGACGGTGTCCTCCTCCTCAGCATCTTCTTCGTCTTCGTGGTCGTCGGCAGCAGGACCAACCTGGCCCTGTCCAGGTGCAAGGGGACCAGCCACGCCTTGACCCAAAGCAGGGGGGTTGACCTGTGCCAAAGCAGGAAGCGGGGCAGGGGCAGCGACGATCGGGGCAGGCATGGGGGCAGGGTTGGCACCACCGCCAAGCTGACCACCGGTAGGGGCAGCAACTCCCTGAGTGGCAGGAAGAGGGCCAGGACGAGTACAGAGAGCTACCTCTTGGTCGAGGACTGTGTTGAGCTGGCTATTGTTTGCCCACCCGGCTGCAGGGTGGTTAGATCCGCGGATGTGCAGCTCCACCTTCTCCCTACAAGCGATTGTCAGACATGAATTTTGGAGTATGAGTTTTAAGATCGTGCTAAAGTCATACCTTCTTTCGGCACAATGGCGGCAGGCGGTACACTCGAAGGGTCCAAAGCCATGATGGCCGCCCAAATGGGTCTTGATCAAGCCCTTGACGGCGCTCGAATAGGTACAGCGGGTGCACAGGAAGTGGACCATGGTTGTTGATGGAGAATTTGGTGACCTGGTGCTGTTGTTGTTGTTGCTGTTGCTGCTGTTGCTGTTGCGGTTGTTGCTGTTGCTGTTGTTGCTGCTGCTGTTGCTGTTGCTGTTGCTGTTGCTGTTGCTGTTGCTGTTGCTGTTGCTGTTGCTGTTGCTGTTGCTGTTGCTGTTGCTGTTGCTGTTGCTG